ATAAAAATCCAAAGTCTAATATATATACATATAGGTTAGGAGGGACTGGTGGCGTTGCTGACCAAAATCATCACGGATACAATGGATAAAAATGTTACTAACACACTAGACGAAGAGGACCACTAAAACAGATACAAAGATCAATCCCAACAACTCACGATTCCTCCATTTAAGTTAAAATAAACCAAACTGATAATTCAACAAACTTGGTTATATTCCCTTTTTAAAGGATGATAACTCTTTTACGTCGGTAAGAAAGAAAGGGTGGTTGCTTAACTAATAACTTTTCACTGGCCAAAGATGGATACTGACGCAACCACAAACACCGAGAAAACACAGTTTTTTCCTCTTCTGCAGCATCGTAGCTAATCCAAAAGTCATTATGTGGTACACCAAGTCTCACTCAAGTCTTCCTTATAAGCAGTGATCTGTCAGCACCGAAACCATAGTGCTGAGTAAGTTCCGTTTTAGTTGAAGCAGTTAATTGGTATCTTATCTATCCCCATTTACTACTTCTTACAAATTATGGAAATGCTTAAATCCTAATACAATTTTGGTAAGATAATAATAAGATCTTAAAACCAGCACTTAAAAGTGTCTACAAATAATAATCATATATTAATTAATATTATAAACATAAGTTTTCTAATACACAAAACAGCTGTATGATCAATTAATTAATATAATAAAATTTTGTTGTTGCAATTTACTACGGTTCGTAAACTGTCTATAATAGTCTATAATAATAGTCTAAATAATAGTATACAAAATTATATATGTTTTAAAAGCGACATTATTGTCTATGATGACTAAATACTGCTAAGATCCTGTTTTATTCTTTGCAAGGGCGATGAATCGCTAAGGGCTATATAATTCTACTAAATTATGAACTTATTATGAACTAAGATCTTGTAAAAAATAGAGGAATAAAAAAAGGAACTAAAGAGTGTCAATACTTGTATGTCAGCGAAAGTCTATCTTAACAAAAAATATCTAGTTTTAGCATCAGCTCGCAACAGTATACCCTTTCCCTCCGTGTGTTGTTATTGTTGGCGTTTTCGTAATGTAATTCTCATTTAGTTTATTTTTTATGAAGAAAGATATTAGTAGACATATAAATACTAAAATGTTTAATACTAACATATACATACTAACATCTCACTTCATTCTCTTTTTTAAACTAATGCAAATTCAAAAGCAATTAAAAGTAAGCATCTGTTAGGTCGTAGATTATGGACTTCAAGACAAAATCCAAAAATACTTTTACATTAATTACAACCTATAATTTATTTAATTAATTGCTGTTGCTCGAACAATCTAATTACAATACTTTAACAAAGTATTTGTTACATTATTGCAAAAGGTTTTAAATCTAAGACCTATATACATTTTATATTAAACTAATTATTACACAAACAAACTAACTGTATGTACATATATATATATAAATGAGTGTAATATACTTTAAGAATATTATCACCCAATCCATTGGCCTTATAAATTGACGGCTATTGTGCAAGAACACAACAACCAAAGCACAAGTTCAGATAAAAATAAAAATAAAAACAGTAAAACTAAAAGCAAGTTCGAGGTTACTTGATAGTTCGAGTTCGACTACGACTAACTAAGCGCTGTGTTATTAGTTCAATTGTGGGTATATGGAAGCATTAATTTGCATATATCCATTGCATGAAACATTCAACATTCAACATTGAACACTTGAAGTAAGTAGAGGAAAATATAGGCAATCACTCAGCACATATGCGCACGTCACAGATACAAATATACACGAACACATTCACGCATTTTGCATTTTGCAGTTATCAAAGTCAGTCGCTTACATACAAGTAGTTTGCTATATTAGCCACCAACGAACGATTCCACAGCCAAACCACTACTCCACTCCTCCAAGAATCGCTGCTATCTTCAAGTGTGCGACTCGGACGGAGTCTTTGTTCGAGTTCTTTGTTATTGCGTCTGTCGTAGTTGTCGCTGTTCCGTTCTGTTCTATTCTGCTCTGTTCAGTTTTGTTTTTATGAGGTTATTTCCATATAACATTTGCGCATTTGTTTTACGTCTCTATTAATAATATTAACCAAAAAATTTTATTATTATTTGTAATACACAAACGAGTACAAACATATGAGTATCTATGTATCTGTATCTGTGTCCGTATCTGTATCTGTGTCTGTGCAGTTTTATTCATTGCGTTCGTTTGTGTGTTTTTGTTTTTATTTTTAGGTCAGCTGTTTTCTGTTGACTTTTATTCAAGTTTATTTTATTTATTTTGTTTTTAATTTTTATTTGTTTTTTTTTTTGTATAATTATTTATTTTGTACATACAAATTTGCATGTCATATGTAAATAAGTGCAACTGGATATTTAGTAGATTTCATCTATTAATTTAAATATTTTTATGAAAAATATTGATTTTATAATAAAAGTATAAAGTGAATTTAAATGAACATCCTTGAAGACGGGGTAGGTTTAGTACTTGTTGGGAGTTTTATCTAAGGTTCTCCACCTCAATTTAAGCTGGTTTTAATACAATCGCACCTACCCCTCATCCATTTTTTATCCCAAACAATCCATATTCTTCTCAATTACCTATCTACCTACCTAATCCATATCCTAAATCATCTCTACATATGTTGTAGTTCCTTCCAAGCTTCTTGCAATACAAATTTCCTCGGACTACAACAACAATACAGTCAACTATCTCACTCATAACAAATCATCATAACAAAAATGTAAATATTTCTTTAAATAATTCATAGATATAAGATATGCGATTGGAAATTAATCGTACTCTCTATATAATCAAAGACATAAACGGACAAACTAAAAGTGATATCAGCATTATTATTAAAGACAACTTTGAGATCCAAATCTAACCTTTCTCTAAAATTTGTTTTCTGATATCTCCTATCTTTTTCATTCTCTGAATCTGTTGTATGGTATCTACATAGTTACTTTAGAACTATAAGAATTCAGAAACCTATTCCAATTGATATAGTTTTTTTCTTCTATTTGTTGTTGGCTCTTAAAACTTTGATATTTATTAGAAAAAAAATTTATTCTTAAAAAGGTTCCTTTCTTTTTCTGATGGGACCCATGGTGGGTTAGATGAAATAAATCTAAAAATTAAAAATTTATTGCTAAAAATATTAAATTGTAGATTTTCTTGATAAAGACTATAACGATTGAGTCAGGAACTAAAATTCACATATCTTGAAAAAAAAAATTAAGAAATTACACTGTTCTGATCTGGTTGTGGTACCTTACTACTGACATAGAATGGAACCAGAAACAGATTTATTTTAAGTTGGTGTGTCTTACAATAGAAATAAACAGATTCAATGTTAGGGATAGGCTTATATGAAATTGATAATGATACGAAAGATAAAAATAAGACCCAACAGGTCAACTGAAGACTTAAAACTATAACTAAATAAATTTCTAAGCGATCATAGTATTTATATCATTTCCTGGATATAAATTACTATTAATATCCATTGCAAAAAAAAATGGTGACTCTACAAATTTTTACATTATCAAGGAATTTGTAAGATTTACAGATAATAGAATATTTTCGGGTATGTAAACACCCATGATCATTATATTACTTAGTATTATCAGAGCCAAAATTAGGATAGAACTTATGTGTGATCTTCAAACCTAACTTGTGAGGTTTTATCTTAACAAGTTCTTCTGAATAGAGCAATATAGTTTTGTAATGAGAATGTGATATATTTTTACTTCGTAGCGATCTTTAACAAGTGAGAAGTAAGTAAATATGTTTGAAGACGGTGAGCAACAACTGTAACTTTCAAAAATTTTAATTTTCAGTTTTATTAAGGCATTAAGACATTGTAGTCATTTTAGTATAATACTTTAAGTATAAATACACAGCGGTTAATACACTATCATCTAAATTTGCCAGAATTCACAAGAGCCACAAAAATTGTTAGTTTAAAGCAACGTTCGATAGAGGTTATAAAAAGGGACAAAAAGGCACTTTTACCAACTATGGGTTAACTTAACGCATATTCAATTTAAAGTCGCCTACATAAATAAAATTATAAATATTGCAGAATTACTTAAATTATTTATTATTTAAAAATCATTGCATCATATCCGAACTCGTCAGAAATTAATTAAAAGAACTCGTTCCTTTCATTTGAAATTAAATAATTTATATGAAGTCAGTTCAGTTTAGTAAGTCAGCTGAGACCATTAAAATGGAAGACTAAGTGAGTTAGTATGTTGAAGACAAAGACGGCCCAATGTGTTAGTGGTAACT